GGTGGTGGGAATTTTGAGGGGAATACACAATGATGTAAAAGACATAAATAAAAAAAATAATAAAATAAAAACATGAAAGTATTAAAAAATAAAATAAAAGGTTTTTTTTCCCCCAAATACATAGCCAAGCATTAGGGAAGGCCTACGTAGTTATGACACTTTCGGAGGATGCAAAAAAAAAATAAACTGAATTGTATGAAATGCATAAAGAAAACTGCAAAATTTCCATTTAAGAAACAAATCACATATATTCAACCTCAGCTATAATAAGAGAAATGCAAATTAAATCTGAACTGAGTTATCATGGTTAAACCTACTAGATGGGTCAAAAAGAAAAAAACAGTATGATAAGACACTGAGCTGCCTTAGGTATGGTGAAAGCAGGCATCCTTACACAATTGATACAACCCACAAGGAAAGCCATTTTGCTATAGCCATCAAAAATGAAAATGCATGTATGATTTGCATTGAGAATCCCATTAATTGAGATATATACTCCTCCCTGTGTTAACTAGATATGTATAGGGATTTTCACAGCAGCACTGATTGAAATAGCAAAGATTGAATTATCTTAAATGTCTATTAATAAAGGACTGGATGTACTTTGATATATACATATAGTAAGGTAACTCATTACATCGACTAACATTGAATGATCACTAAGATTGTTAAGTGAGAAAAGTATATGTTAGAAAGTTTTTAAAATGGACATGGGTGTGTGTGTGTGTGCGTGTGTGTGTGTGCGTGTGTGTGTGGCTGCATTTGGAAAGGGTATATGGGAGACTGTGAGTATATATTTTTTCCTTTTTAAAAGACTTTTGTTATGACATACAAAATGCATAAAATATAAATATTGGGCTTACCTAATTATTCAAAACAAGTATTTGCCTAATTTCCATTCCAGTCTGTAAACAACACTGCCAGATCCTTGCCCAAAAACCTTCCTCATGTCTCTTTCCCTCCCAGCCCACAATCAAGAAAGCCACTCTCTTGCCACTCATGGTCAGCACTTCCTTGCTTTGCTTTCTAGTTTTGCCACATAACCACACATGCCTATATAACACAACTTTGTTTTGCCTGTCTTAAAAATTATATAAATTGAAACAATACGATTCTTTATGTCCAGTTTCTTTCACTCAATATTATGTTCCATTTATTTCTCCATTCTATTATTAATGCACATTTAAGTTACTTCCAGTTTCTGGTTATTACAAGTAATGCTGATTTCTGCTGGCTATTTTCCTAAGAGGGAAATTGGTTCCTCATTGGCCCACATATACTTTGATAAAGAAGGCTAAAATATTTTTCAAATAGATCATATTAATTTATACTCCTACCAGCAGCATATGAGCCACTGATAGAAGCTGATATATCAACAGCTATATGTGCTGACAGGTACATTATGAGCTGCTGATATGGTTCTGTATCCTCAGTAATAGTTGTTACTGTCAGTCTTCTTAATTTCAGCCATTCTGGTAGGAATGTAGTGGTATCACACGATGGTTTAAATTTGCATTCCTGTGGTAACTAATGAGGCTGAGACCCACCTTAACTGTTCATAAGTTATTGGATATCTTCTTTAGTTATATGTCTATTCAAGAAAAGCCTCTGACTTCCAGGCAGTGTGCTTTTTCTCATTGTTTTGTTGCTCTTTATATATTCTGGATAAAAGCATTTGTTATCTATCTCTTCTCTCACTTGGGCCTTTTGATTTTCTTCTTAATAGAACTGATAATCATCAAAGCCAGAACAGTAGTTACCTTTGGCAGTAGGAAGATTCTGGAATGCTGACTATGGACTCTTTCTAGACCTACATAGGAATAAATCACTGAGCTGTGTGTGTCTGTTTTGTACACTTCGCTGCATATATATATATATGTATATATATATATTTCACAATAAAAACATTTTTTAAAAGATTGCCTTAATCTATGAATGACCCATTAATTCTTCTCTTACAAGTACAGTTCAGATAGGGGTATATTAACAAATGAACATGAGGAGACAGAAACAGAAATGTTGATGGGTAACATTGTTTATAACTCATATGATATTTCACCAAAAGACTTAAAATTAGTAAATTGATAAGATTTGTTTAGGAATCCTCTTATAAAATAAAAAGGAGAAAATAAGAATGTATTCTCAACTGCTTTTATTTGCATAAAGAAATCCAAATCACACAGAAAAAATTAACTGGACAGATGTATTGGAGAGAGATGAGTAGACAGGAAAAAAATGGGTAAGGGAATTTATTTATTTATTTATTTTTTAAGAATTATTTCTATCAATTTATTTATTTTATTTATTTTTAAAGATTTATTTATTTATACAAGCACTGGGTATAGCCAGAAGCACGGGAGGGTGAGAGAACTCATCAGAGCCAGAGCAGGAGCAGAGCAGGCAGAAGGACCAAAGGACACTGCTGAGGGGAGCAGCGGGCGGCAGGAGAGGTCTGCGTGCCATGTGGGACCCTCACCCGGTGGCCGGGGAGCAGCCGGGCATCGAACCGGCACTGCTGAGACTGTGGGCAGCTTTGCAACACAGCGCTCAACTGCTGTGCCACCAGGGAGGCCCGGGTAAGGGAATTAGACTGCATAGGTTTTATATTTTTAAACTTTACATTTTTAAGTTTTTGAGTCCTGTATCTTTATTATTATTCAAAATTATACCCCAAAAAACTACTACTAATATCATTGGAAGGATAATGTTGCATCCATAAAACAAAATAGCATGCTATTAAAAGGAATATTGTGAAAACAAAAAAAGCTATTTGAAATAAAATAAAAATGTGTGATAGCACTGAGAGACAGAAAGGAAGATTTGGAAGATAAAACATTTTTTAAAAAAACTACTAAAAAGGAAAGCAAAAAAAAGGAAATCAGTAGAACAAACAATTTTTTTAAAGAAGATCAATAACCGAACAAGAATAGAAAAAAAATGTGAGTAGAAAAAGACTAGATTGGAAATAGGCTTGTAAATTTGTGCAAAAAAATTAGTTTTTTAAGATTTACTTATTTATGCATACAAGAAGTGGGGTGTAAGCCAGAGGTGCAGGGGTTGAGAGGATTCGCCAGAGACCGAGTGGGGAGCAGAACAGGCAGAACTACTAAAATACACTACTGAGGGGAGCAGCGGGTAAGACAGGAGAGGTCTGCTGCGCCATGTGGGACCCTTGCCGGGCTGGCCGGGATCAAACAGGTGTTGCAGAGGCTGACGGACAGCTTCACAGTGTGGCGCTCAACAGCCTGCGCCACCAGGGGGAGGCCCACAAAAATTATTTTTAACCTAGAGTTTTATACTGAGCCAAAAAGACAAATAGAGTAACAGGGCCAAATAAATACATCTCCATGGCATTTATTGATTAACAAATATTTCTATAGATATATTTATATAATTATACATATTAAATAAATATATATTTGTATGACATTTTCAGATAGACCTGTTATCCATCCATTCTCAAGAATATACTGGAGGATGTGCTCCCATAAAATGGTGGGGGGAGGGAGTAAACTCAAAAAGAGGATGTCAAGGATCCAGGAAACAGGAAAAGAGACAGAGGATTCCCAGGAAGGGGATCTGACATAAAACATAGCTGGAGGGGATTTCCTGAGGGTTGGAGAAGGGAAAACATCAAAGTAATAGCTATATGCAAAACTGAGAAGCAAACAGATCCATCCTCAGCAAGTCAACACACTCCAAGAGAGATTTCTTCAAAGAGAAGACACTTCTGCCCAGAGATCAGAGCAGCCCCAACTATTATTACCTGTGTGACCTTGGGTCATATAGTTTTCCTCTATGCCCCAGTTTTCCCCTCTGTAAAATGGAGGTAAGAATAGCCCCTACTTCCTCCCTGGTGGCGCAGTGGGTTGAGCGCAGTGCTGTGAAGATGTCTGCAGCCTCTTCAGTGCTGGTTCAATTCCCAGCCAGCTAGGGAAATTGCCACATGGCACGGCAGACCTCTCCTGTCACACCTGCTGCTCCCCTCAGCAGTGCTTTCAGTCTGTCTGCCTGTTCTGCTCCCCGCTCTGTCTCTGGTGAATCCTCTCACCCTCCCGCGCCTCTGGCCTGTAGCCCAGCTATTGTATAAATAAAAATAAATAAATAAATATATATATTTTTTTTAAAAAAGAATGGCCCCTACTTTTCAAGGTTGTTGCAAAGATGCATTAGTATATGTAGAGCACATACAATAGTGCTGGACACAATATAAACATTATATGAGTGTAAATACTGTCACTCTGGTTACTAGCTAAGTCTGAATATACAGCAAGAAGACTTAAATCCCTGGGAAGAATCTGGAGTTGAATTGTTGATAGGTATACAGTAAAGCAAAAAAATCACTAAACCAGAAAATGGTTGATTCCAGGGAAAAGAAAAACATTGTACAGAAATCATAGCATGGATACTAAATAAATCAACTGTCCCTCATCAGTGAGGTAGTAATAAACACTGACAGTGGATCTGATAAAAACACAGAATTTTAGGAAAATGTGTATGTGAATAGGGGTGTTTTAGAAAAGCTAAGTTTCCATCTTCCATAGTATAAAGTAATAGATAATACCCAAAATACAAATGGAATTTGTTAAAATGATTAATCATCCTTGTCTCTAAGGACCTAGAACCTAGAAGAAACAAAGCAGGAAAGAGCTGTTTATAAAGAAGGCTTGAAGAATTATTTGACACCTTTTACCACTTATAAATAAAACTAAAAATGAATTGCAAATTACAAAGTGGCAAAATAGTTATAAAATATGTAAGAATGATAAAAGGTTATTAACCTTAATATTAAAAAATCATTAAAATTCATAAGCTAAGCTAAATAAATCAACAATAGGCAGGAGAAGGACATTAACACAATGGAAATGAATGACTAATAAAAATGAGAGAAAGTGGATTAACCTGCCTGGGGAAAAAATATCATACAAGTTAAAATAAGAAGATGCTATCTTTCATTCTGGATGTATTTCTACCCCTAGACACCTCTTCCTCTTCCTCACCTCACAGGAGTTGCCACATCCCCTCATGTCCCCTGGCGTGCTCTGGTTTGCCGGCATGTTCCCTCAGGCTCCCTTGCTGACAGCTCCACTCTTTCCAGGGGTCCGAAGCTCAACCAGAGATGCTGGAGGTCCTTGGAAGGAAGATCCTGTAGTCTTCACTATGAGGTCTGGGCCAGGGACTGCACAGAAGCTCCAAGAAACCTGGAAAGACAGTGTCCATATGGTCAGTCACTCCACATTCACCACACGAGTACTTCCTGGGGGGCACCAAAGTACAGTTTACAGTACTGGATACTGTGGAGTAGACAAAGTCCAGTCAACACCTATTGTCATTACTCATCAAGATGGAATGTGACCATGAGATTTGGACTAAAATTAATTCTAGCTCTGGCAATGTTTTGTTATGAGAATATGAAAATGTTTCTTCAGGTTTTTTTTCAAAATGAATCAGACCTAGCTCTCTCAAGTGGTTGTGAAAATTAAATGAGACGATGTTTGTAAGCCATTTAGCAGTGAACTGTGTTGGGTAAACATTTAATTAATATTAGCAAGTATTGTCACAGGAAACAGTGTATTGTGCAAAAGCAGGTGCCTCATTTAATTTGCACAATGATTCTGTCAGCTGTATGTTGCTATAATGATTAGTATTTCATTTCATGGACTCAGAAACAGGTTTGTTGATGTATGTCAAACCCAGTCTATCTGGCTTCAAAATTCCCATTTTCAACATTGTACCACACATTCCCTTTTACATGGTAGGCTCAAAATAAACCATAGTTCTATTTAACAGATTTCAAAAAATCTAACTGATTTGGAATAAGAAGATTAAGTTTCTTCAAACAAAAAAGACATTCCATGAGGAAAATATTGATAGCCCAGGACAACAGTTTTAAAATTACTTCAAAAATACCCAGAGTGAAAACTATTTCTCCTGCTGAGGGATCCAGGTAAGGTACAATTTTATTCTGAGCAACTAATTAATACAGCTACATAGATTTAGTCATTCTTATTGGGAAAGGCAAAATAGCCACAGAAAATGAAGAGGAACTTAATTAAATCAGCTGAAGTAAAAAAATGGGATAAAGGGCCTCCCCGGTGGTGCAGCAGTTGAGCGCTGAGCTGCGAAGCTGCCCGCAGCCTCTGCAGCACTGGTTCCATCCCTGGCCACCGGCAAGGGTCCCACAAGGCACACAGACCTCTCCTGCTGTGCCCGCTGCTCCCCTCAGCAGTGTATTTCATCAGTCTGTCTGTTCTGCTTCCCGCTCTGGCTTTGGTGAATTCTCTCACCCTCCCGCGCTTCTCACTGTACCCAGTGCTTGCATAAATAAATAAATAAATAAATAAATAAATAAATAAATAAATAAATCTTTGGGGGGGAAAAAAAAAAGAAATGGGATAAAGGCACACTAAGCTGGCATACTAGCATGAACCTGGAGTCATCTTGTCCTCCAAGGACCCCAAGGACCCCATAGATAGGCATCAGTGAAGGAGCAAGTGCACTCAGAAGAAAATTTCAAAGAGGACTTGACAATCAGTGTTTCTAGAGGAGGTGGGACAGATACTACCAGAGAGGGTAGGAAAGTCTGAGAAATGGTCAGGAACGATAATGGGGTACTAGAAAAAGAATCCACTCTTCCCCCAGTTGGAAGCTAGAGGCTTCTGCTCAGCTCTGAGCGGTCAAGCAAATACTGCCTCCCAGAAAGCATAGCATCCAAGATGAATACCCTATGCCAATACCCTATGTCTTGCAATTCTAATGCTAGTCCATCACAGCAGGACTGGGAAGAAAAGCAGTCTAGTTTAATCCATGGAAATAATCACAGAGCATGAAACAAAATGAGGCAGAGGAATTCATCCCAATAAATGAATCAAGACAAAACCCTGGGGAAATTCCCTAATACAAAAGAATTAACCAAACTGCCAGAAGATTTCAGAACAACAGTCTTAATGACGTTTACTCAAATTAGGAGAATAATGGATGAACAAAATGATGACTACAACAAGGACAGAGAAACTATGAAAAAGCTTCCAAACAGAAGTCAAAGAGATAAAGAATGTAATAGTTGAATTTAAAAATACAATAGAGGGGCTCACCAGCAGTCTCAATGATGTTAAGGAATAAATTAACAAGAGGAGAAGACAGGGAGGTGGAAATCATCCAAAAGACCAGCAAAGAGAGAAGAGAATTAAGAAAGATGAAGACAACATAAGAGACTTCTAAGAAGACATCAAAGGAAACAAACTTTGCATCAAAGGGATTTCAAAAGGAGAAGAGAGAAAGTGGCAGAACTCCTACTGGAAGAAATAATAGCTGAGAACATTCTCAAACTGGGGAAGGAAACAAACATCCAGAATCAGAGAGCTAAACACGTTTCAAAAAGAAAATGAACCCAAGCAGATGTACACACCAAGAAACATTATAATTAAAATAGCAAGAATTAGAGATAGAGAATGCTAAAAGATCCAAGAGAAAAGCAAAAGTCATATATAAGGGGACACCATAAGATTATCAGCAATTTTTCAGGAGAAACCTTATAGGCCAGAGGGAATAGCACTACATATTCAACACGCAGAAAGGAAAAGCTCTCCAACCAAGAATCTTCTATCCAGTTAGGTAACACAATTAGAGAAACAATAAAAAGATTTACGGACAAACAAAAGTTGAAGGAATTTATCTCCTCTAAATGAACATTGCAATAGATATTAAAGGGACTTTCATAAAATGAAAAGAAACCTCATACAGAAGCAACAAGATGACTTATGAGGACAGTATTATCCTGATACCAAAAGCAGACAAGGATATCACATACAAAAAAATTACAGACAAATATCCCTGATGAACACAGATGCAAAAATCCTCAATAAAATCTTACCAACCCAAATTCAACAATACATTTAAAAAATCATACATCCATTCCCAAGTGGGATTTATCCCAGGATGCAAGGATGGTTCAACAGTCACAAAGTGAGCAATGTAATCCACCACATTAACAAAGGAAAGATAAAAATGATGATATCAATAGACAGAAAGCATTTGCAAGATCCAACATCCATTTATGATAAAAACTCAAGGATAGAAGGAACATACTTCAACATAATAAAAGCCATATACAATAAATTCACACTTAATATCATACAAAATGGTGAAAATTAAGTTTTTCCTCTAAAATCAGGTACAAGACAAGGACAGCTACTCTCACCACTAATAATCACATATTATTGGAAGTTCTAGCTAGAGCAATTAGACAATATAAAGATAAAATATCAATCCAAATTGGAAAGGAAGAAATGAAACTATCACTATTTCCAGATGGCATGATAATATATACAGAAAACCCTAAAAACTCCACCAAAAAAACTATTACATACCATAACTCAGTAAAGCAGCAGGTTACAAAATGAATATACAAATCTGTTGTATTCCTATATTCAAACCATGAACTAGCAGAGAAAGAAACAATCCCATTTACAATAGTACAGGAATTAAGTATTTAGGATTAACAAAAGAGGTGCAGTTCTATACAATGAAAACTATAAAACCTTGTTAAAAGAAACAAAATAAGTCACAAGTAAATTGAAAGATATTCCCTGCTCATGGATTGTAAAAATTAATAATGTAAACATACAGACAGTGCAATACTTATCAAAATTCCAAAAGCTTTCTTCATGGAAATAGAGCAAATGTTACTGAAATTTGTATGGAACCACAAAAGTCCCTGAAGAGCTAAAGCAATTCTGACAAAGAGATGAATGAGGTTATTACACTCTCAGACCCCAAATTTTACTACAAAATGATAGTAACAGAAACAATATAATACTAGAATAAAAAAAAAAAAAGACACAGCTCAATGGACTAGAAATGAGAGCCCAGAAATAAACCCACACCTATATGTTATAGTTATATGCTTAATTTATGGCAAGAGTCAAGGACATACAATGGTAAAAAGAAAGTCTATTGAAAAATGGTGCTGGGAAGATTAAATAGCCACATACAAAACAATGAAACTAGACCACTACAACACCACACACAAAAATTAATTCAAAATGGATCAAAGACTTGGATCCAGGAACTGAAACTATAGAAGACATAGAAGAAAACATGGGGAAAACACTCTGACATTGGTTTTAGGGATGACTTTGAGGACTTGACTATAACAGCAAGGGAAGCAAAAGAAACAATAAATATTACAAATGGGACTGCACAGAATTAAAAAGCGTCTGCACAGTGAAAGAAACTATCATTAAATGAAAAGACACCCTACCAAGTGGAAGAAAATATTTGTGTATCATATATCTGACAAGGGGCTAATATCCAAAACTTACAATGAAAAAAAAAAAAAACTCAAGAAAGCAAATAACTCAATCAAAAAAATGGGCAGAAGAGCCAAGTAAGTACATCTCTAAAGAAGACATGGCCAACGGGCATATGAAAAAATGTTCATCATCACTTATTATCAGGAAAATGCAAATCAAAACCACAACAAGATACCACCTCCCATACATTAAGAATAACTCATAACAAAAAAGACCAGAAACAAGAAGTTTGGGCGAAGGTGTGGGAAAAAAAGAACCCTCATACACTGTTGTTAAAAATATAGTCCAGCCTCTGTGAAAAACAGTATAGAGGCTTCTCAAAATATTAAAAATAGATGAATTATATAATCCAATAATCCACTCCTAGGTATCTACCAGAAGAATACAAAACCACTAATTTAAGGTATATGTGCACTCCCATGTTCACTGCAATACTATCTGCAATAATCACGCAAAGGAAACAATCTAAGTGCCAATGACAGATACATGAATAAAGAAGATGCAGTATATATACACAATATATTACTACTCAGCTTAAAAAAATGAGATTTGGAAAGATATGGAATTTTGATAAGTATCGCACTGTCTGTATATTTACATTATTAATTTTTGCAACCCATGAGCAGGGAATATCTTTCTATTTGCAACAATATGGATGGAACTAGAGAGGATTATGCTAAGTGAAATAAATCAGAAGAATGACAAATACCAGGTGATTTCACTTATATATGGAATACAAAGATACAAAGAAAAAAAAAACAAAGCAAAGACACAGACAAAAACAAACCAAAATAAAACCTTGACATCTTGACTGCAAAGCTGAGGCTGCCAGAAGGGGAGTGCGGGGGAATGGAAACAGCGGGGCTGAGGCCCTGTGGACTATGGTAGAGGATTAGTGGGATTTTGGTGGTAGAAGTGGGTGATAACATACATTTGGAAAGATATGAATCTATACCCCTATGTTTAAAACTGTGTTTTAAACACTACCTCGATAAACACAATTAAGTATAAAAATAAATAAAAAATTTAAAAATAAATTGGGTGAAAAGGAAACAAGAAAGTAAAAGAAATTAGGAGTCAAATAAAATATAAGGCATGAACAAGTTAAATTTTAAACAAAGAGACTATTACGCCAAAGACAAAGTATGCTCTCTTTTCTCATGTTCATAGAACTTTTATAAAATTCCATTAAATAACCTAGCCATAAAGAAAATCTGAGAGCTGTTTTAATATTGGGAATTGACTGGCTATAGCCTTTCCAATATAAGGTGTTCCACATTATTAATCATTAGGGAAATGCAAATTAAAACCAAAATGTTTCATTCATTAGGAGACCACTTGATACTCATTAGGATGGCTAAAATAAGAAATAAAAACAATCACATTTGTTAGTGAGATGTGAATAAATTAGAGCACTCATACATTGCTGATGGAATTTTCACATGGGATAGTCACTCTGAAAAACAGTTTGAACAGTTCCTCAAAATGTCACCTATAGATCCAGCATATGATCTAGCAATTCCATGCCTAGGTATCTACCTAAAAGAAATGGAAATACATGTCTACTCCAAAACTTGTACACAAATATCTACAGCAGTGTTATTCTTAGTATCCAAAGGTGGAAAGCACCTAAATGTCCATCACTTGATGAATAAACAAAATCTGGTGTGTGTGTATATATATATATATATATATATTGGAATATTATTTGGAAATAAAAAAAGAAATACTGATGTATGCTAACAACATAGATGAATTTTGAAATCATCTTACATGACATAAATCAGTCACAGGAGAAAGACAAATACCATATGATTTCACACATGTGGTAGACAAAGAAACAAAACAGATGGACAGACTAAACAAAACAAAAATAAACATTTAGACTTTAAGAACAAAATAGTGGTTACCAGAAGGGGAACTGGGATAAATCTGGTAAAAGGGATCAACTATATGGTGATGGATGAAACTAGAATTCAGGTGGTGAACATACACAGATGTTGTTTTAAAAGCTTGTATGCCTGAAATCCATGCTATGAACCAAGATTACTTCATTTTTTTTAAAGCCAGTTAGTAAAGATCACATATTTTGTGATTCCATTTATGTGAAATTTCCCAAATAGGCAAATCTACAGAAACAGAAAATTGATTAGTAGTTGACTAGGGCTGAGGTATCCGGGTAGCATGAAAAGTGAATGTCTGCTACTGTGTACAAGGTTTCTTTCTAGGGTGTTGAAAGTCTTCTAAAATTAGATTGTGGTGATGGTTGCACAACTCTGTGAATGTGCTAAATCATTCAATTGTATACTTTAAGTGGTGAATTTTATGGTATTAGGATATATCTAAATAAATCTGCTTTGTATATCTATATACATCTATTTTAAAAGAAAAGAAACACTTTACTATATAACCAAGGATCAAAGTAGAAAGTCAATACAGAAGTTACACAATTTTATCGGAAGTCATAGAATACATTAAAATTGTATAGAGTGAAATTCACAGCATTAAATGGCTTTATTTTCATTTCAAATAAATATAACTAAAATAAGCTATGTATTCAACCAAGAACATTAGAAAAAATGTTAAGCAAACAGTAGAAAAAATGTTAAGCAAAACCAGTAGTAATTAATAAAAATAAAACCTTAAATAATAAAATAAATATATAACAATAAGGGGGTTAAAGAAGTCAAAGAGCTGATACTTTCAAGTGACCAATGACATAGATAACCCCTTAGCAACCAGATAAAAGAGAATTAAAAATCACACATGTGCACAAGCACACACACACACACACACATACACACACACAGAGAGAGAGAGAGAGAGAGAATGGAAAATAAGAAAGGAAAAATCTTTCCCAGATAGGGCGGTGTTTTAAAGTTATTATTGTGGGATATTTTGCAAAACTGTATAGCAACACATTTTAATACTAATGTGAAACAGGTGCTTCTCCCAGCAAAATTTAATTTAACAGAGTTAATACAGGAGGGAAAAAGAAAGACATACAAATGTTTAAAACCAGGGGGAAAAATTACAAAACACAGCAAACACAAACAGGGAGACTGAAAGTTAGCAAGGAAAAACATTTAACAAGCTTCATCAAATTGAAATCATGCAGAGTATGTTTTCTGATTATAATAACAATGAACTAGAAATCAACAACAGAAAGATAATAGGAAAATCTCCAAACACTTGAAAATTAAACATTACATTTCCATAAATATATTATATCTATAAATGTATAACAATACAGTTCAGATGAAGTCTGAAGGGAAATTAGAAAGAATGAAAACGAAAATACAAAACATAAAAATTTGCCAGATGCAGATAAAGCAATGTTGAGAAAGAAATATAAAGTACCAAATGTTCATCTTTGAAAAGAATCAAGGTCTTAATCAACAATTTCAATTCAAGAAACTAGAAAAAAAGAACAAAGTAAACCCAAAAAGCATGCAGGAGGAAGTAATGTAAGAGCAGAATCAATGCTATTGGAAACAGAATAACAATAGTGAAAAGTCAATGAAACCAAAAGCTGGATCTTTGAAAACATCAATAAAATTGGTAATTCTCTAACAGGATTGGCAAAAATAAATGAGAATACACAAATCACCAATATCCAAAATGAAACAGGGGCTCTAACTACAGATTCTGCTGTCAGTGAAAAGACAGTAGAGGAATATCAGACAACTTTATGCACATAAAATTCAACAATTTGGATGAAAAAGTTCAATTCCCCACAAAACACAAACTCCCACAACTCACCCACTATAAAACATATAAACGGTATTAAATAGGTAATATGAATAGCCATATAACCACTACAAAAATTAAAGCCATAATCGAAAAGTTTCCAAAAGGAAATTTCCAGGCCCTGATGGTTTCACTGGAAAAGTCTTACACTTAAAATTTGCATAATTTTATACAATTTCTTCCATAAAATAGAAGAGGAAAGAATACTACCCAACTCATTTTATGAGGCTATATATTACCCTAATATTAAAACCAGGCAAAGATAGTACAAGAAAAGAGAACTATAGACCAATAAACTTTGATGCAAAAATCCTCACACAGAAAAGTATTAGCTAGTAATTACTGCAATAAAGGAAATTATCCATCACACCAAATGAGGTTTATTTAAGGAATGTAAGGCTGGTTCGATATTCAAAATCCAATCAGTATAATCTCTCATATAGAATAAAAATTACAAGATCCTATTAATTTATATAGTGTTGACAAAATTCAATACCCATTTATGATAAAAATAGGCAGGTCTTTGACCAATGGAACAGACAAGAGAGCCTAGAAATAATAGCCTTACACAAGTATAGTCACTTGATCTTTGACAAAGATGCAAAATGAGTCATTCAAGGAAGGACAGTCTTCGACAAATGGTGCTTGAGTAATTGAACGTCCAAATAAAATGAACCTCCATCAAAGTCACACTTTATACAAAATATAACTCAAAATAGATCATGGATAAAAGAAAGGAGAAAAGGACAAATCAACATCACAGTGGAGATTTATCTTTCCTTTCTCAGTAGTAGAAGCAGACAGAAAATAAATATAAACTTCAAACACCACACCTGACGACTAGAAAATTAAATATTATTTTCTAGTTATATGTGGAACATTTATAAAAATTCACCACAAACTAGGCCATGGGTCTCCTCACAGTTCAAAGAATGAGCTTCATTTGACATTTTTCTGACCACAGAAAACTAGGGTTAGAAATATATTCAAAAGATAAACTTTCAGGAACTGAAAACTGACTTCTAAGGAACTCATGGGCAAAAGGAAAATTATCAACTCTTAGAAAACACTTAGAACATAATGGTCCAAACCTTTGGTTCTTAGAGTGAACTTTAAGACCTTAACGTTGATAAGAGAAAAGAAGCCTGCAAAATAATAAGTGAATCATCTAACCACAGTTAAACAACTTATTCCAACGGGGACCACCCAGAATGACCCAACACTCACCCTCCCCAGATCCCCATCACCTCCACATCCCTCTGACAGTGAGCCTTGAGATCCTGACAACTATTAAGCCGCGGCTGAGAGCAGCAGCCGCTTCCGGTCACCACCTCTAGCCCCACCCCTATCTGCGTTTGGGCATTCACGACGTGGGCGTGGTTCTGCGCACGCGCAAAACCACATTCGAAGCCGCCGGCAGCCAAGAGTCAACATGGAGATGTTACGGAAGCCGTGCTTTAGAGCGTTTAGCGCCGCTCTTGGCTGCTTTGGAAGGAGGGTGACATGGCCGCGCCCAGCTTGCGCTTCCCCATGTGGCGCGCCATGTTGAAGAGTGTTCCTTCCGAGCTGAGGATGAGGATGCCCCTAATCTCATAGATCAGAGGAGGGTTGCTGTCCACAAATGATAGGGGCGTTTCTCTGGGAGGACTTCCTGGAAGAGGGGTCTTGACTCTATACTCTATGGATCGGTGCAGTCATGTTCAGAGAAGCTGAGGGACCGCTGGGAAGACACAAAGGTGCCAGTGGCTGTTATCTCTTGACAGGTACCACAGAATGAGAAGGCTGTAGGGGGAGAAGTCAGACTGGTTACCAGCCTCTCTTGGAACATGCCCTGAGGGAAAATGGAGAAGAAATCAGGGATGTGCAAGCTGTCCTAGCACAGAGCACTGCAGGGGGAAGGAGAGGAGTCAGGGTTAGAGTCTCCTGCTGTGCTGGCAGGGCTTGGCTGTGGGGTTTCAGTCCTCCCATAATCTGCGTTATCTGTTACTCCGGCTACCCCAACCAAAATAAAAACATGTGCAGATGATAATTTTTGATGTTTCCTTAATCTAATGTAATAAATACATCTATAAAAACATCTTTAGGGCCTCCCCAGTGGCGCAGCGGGTTGAGCGCCAAGCTGTGAAGCTGTCCGCAGCCTCTGCAGCGCGGGTTCAATTCTCAGCGGGCCAGGAATGGAGCGGCAGACCTCTCCTGCCTCGCCTGCTCCTCCCCTCAGCAGTTTCTTCGGTCCGTCTGCCTGTTGTGCTCCCCACTCTGTCTCTGGTGAATTCTCTCACCCTCCCATGCCTCTGGCCTTTACCCCAGTTCTTGTATAAATAAATAAAAATAAATCCTTAAACAAATCTTTAGGAAACATTATTTTTATTTCCTCATAAAATAAAATTGATACATGGACGTCCCTTTACTTTGCAAATGGAGCTTTATAAAACAAGGCTTATTCTGCTGCCTCTTACGACCCCGATATGGGAATTATGGAGATGTCCCTGTACTTCTGGGAGATGTCACTGGGGCAGAAAGGGAAGAAACCCACTGCCCTTCACCTGGGAATGCTTATTTATCCTTTTAAACCAAATTAAAATATCTCTTCCTCCAAGGAATCCTCCTGACAGAGGGAGATGATTTTGTACCCCCAGGAAGGCCTTTTTGAATCCTCAGGTGAGAAAGGAATTTTACAGGAACCTGGCGGAGACTCAAACATGTTCTTGCTGGATACTCTCAGTCCATTCACATGACCTCTGGCCTTCAGCTTAACAATCAGGAATGCAAGGGGTGTCCAATAAGCCTAAGACCATGCAGGACTAATTTGTAGTCTGAGAGTTCCATAATCATCAGTCAATGCGGAGGCCATATATCAGAGGGACTGTGGGACAGTTCACCAAACAAAGGAAAAGACTGAGTTACAGAATTCTGAGGAATGGTGTTGGTCAGATGACATGGATATTATAAAACTGACTTGCTATAAGAAATGCAGAAAGTACTAAAATGATAGAGAACTTGCAAGTATTTAAGACCTTATTTTTTCATTTATTGGATATTTATTAATTACCAGGCACTGCACTTGGTACTTGATAATTGGTAAGAACAAAACAACTTCCAAATCCCTAACTTCATGAACCTGACATCCTAGTGGGGAAGAGAGGCAATAAACATTGTTTTTTAAAAGATCATAACTGGGATAGGGCAGAGTGATGTGAGTTGGAAATGCTGGGTTTTTTTCTTTCAAGATTTCAAAAACGATTTTCTTATTGTGTACATGGTTTTCAATCAAAACTCCAATGTAATACTTATCTGTGTTCCTCTATAGATAAGGTGTTTTCTCCCCTCTCTGAATTCTTTCAAGATTTTCTCTTTGTCATTGATTTTCTTCAGTTGGAACAATATGTTCTTAAGTGTAGATCGTTTTGGTACTCTGTTTGTAGTTCTTTGAGCTTGCTGGATCTGAGGTCTGGTGTCTGCCATAAATTTAATAAAATTCTTTGCTTTTATTTCTTCAGCCACTTCTGATTTTCCAATTTATGTATATGTTATACCCTTTGTAATTATCTCACAATTCTTAATTCTCTTTTGTTTTTCTTTCATTTTTTTCTTTGCATTTTAGTCTGGGAAGTTTCTATTGCTATCTTCAAGCTTACTGATTTTTTTACTCAACTGTGTCCAACCTACTTATGAACCATGGAAAGTATTCTCCACTTCTGTTACAGTGCTTTGCTATTTCTAACATTTCCTTTAGAATCTCCTTTTGGGTTCTCATCTCTCTTCTTACATTAAACAGCCTGTTCTTACATGTTGTCAAATTTTCTGCTAGACTGATTAACACATTAATGTTTCTTTAAATTCCCTGTACAATGATTTCCCAATCTGTGTCATATCTGAGTCTACCTTTGATGCCTGTTTTATCTCGTCAGACTGTTTGGTTTTTTTTTTTTTTTGCCTTTTAGCATGTTTTTGCAGTTTTTTTTAAGCCAGCCATGATAGATTAGGTATCTAAGGTTAATAGGCCTTTGGTTTTAGGCTTTATGTCACTCTGACTATAAGCTGGGCTGTGTTTAATGTTTGCTGTAGCTGTAGGTGCCTGAGATTTCAGATTTTTCTAGTGTTCTTGTTTTTGTTTCTAAGAAGGAAAAGAAAAAGATGTCTTTGGGTTCCCCTTAGAACTCCACTAAATAGACTGTGTATCTTGCATGTTTTTTAGGGTTTTTTCCTTTAAATGTTTATTTCAAGAAACTTTAGAGTCAGAATAATACAAAGCATTCTCATACATCCTTCACTATACCACAAAGCTACAGTGATCAAACAGTATGTTATTGGACTAAAAACAGGTACACAGATCACTGGAATGGAATTGAGAGCCCAGAAATAAAAGCAACTCTTTTAGTTTTAATCCACTGTCATTATAGTGGAAACTTGAAGGAGAGGAAGATTATCTAATGATTAAATTTTGGTATTTTAGTGTGATATGACCTTCAGAAGTGTGTCTTAGCCTTTTTATTCTTCCTTTAGAATAGCTAGGGAGGATAGAGAGGGGTCTGAGGTTGACCAATTGCTCTTGCCCCACAGAGCCAAGTCTCTAGAAAAAGTTCCCATAGAGAGCAGGTCTTTGATATGGAGAAAGGTCTGGGTGTAATTGAAAATGGTAACTAACTTTCCTTTTGCCCAAAATTTGAGAGTTTTTTCCTTGGATCTTCACTTTGAGAAACTAGAGGCAAAATCCACAAAGGCATGAGTCTTCCCAGAGATTTCCCCATGCAATCTAATGCACACATAGCCGCTAATAATTTGTAAAAATCCCTAGTGAAGTATTCTTACTAGTTTTTGGCTCCAGTGGCTTCTGCTCCAGACAAGGTAAACTGATCTCAGCTGTGATCTCTCTGTATTTGCCTGTGTCTCCAGATTTTGAGGTGACAGTTTCTCTGTAACCTCAGTTCTCTAAAGTCTATTAAAAAATCATTGATTTTCAGTTTATTCAGCATTTTATCTCATTATCAGGATGAGAGTGATGACTCCCAAGTTCTTCATATGTCAGGGCTGAAACTGGAAGCCTGTAGGCACTTTCCAAATCTTATCAAATGGTGCATTTTACTGTATGTAATGTTTTCATTAAAAATATAAACAAATACTGATCACTTTTTAAAAAAGATTTATTTTTATTTATTTATGCATACAAGAACTGGGGTATAGACCAGAGGTGTGGGGTTGAGAAGATTCACAAGAGACAGAGTGGAAAGCAGAACAGGCAGATTGAAATACACTGCTGAGGGGAGCAGCTGGTGAGACAGGAGAGGTCTGCTATGCCATGTGGGTCAGCTCCCTGGCCAGGGATCGAACTCATGTTGCAGTGGCTGGCAATAGTTTGATAGCACGAAGACTTTTACCCCCTACACCACTAGGAAGGCCCCTCAAATACTAAGCTCTTATTTATGATATGCATGTTGAAGTTTTTAGGGGTGGTGTACTGACGGCTGTAAAAATATGTTAAAATGCATCTAAAAAGATGAGTTGATAAGTGGAAGGAAGGATGCATAAATGGATAGAAGATAAAACAACTATAATAAATGTGTTTTGTGCATGCTTACATTATTTTTTTTTTACAAATCAAACTTTTATTCTGAGGAATTCACTGCACAATATCTTTTTTTAAGTTTTATAACTTTATTTGATATTCAGTGGTTAATGCTCATCCACACTGACTGTAGATTTTTGGAAGTTGCGACAGGTACTTAGGTAACCAATGTACACAGCTTGTTTGGTGACTCTTCATCCCCATAAAGTTTCTTGGACAACTGCATAGGGACATGGGGAGAGACATCCCTTATTCCTTTGGCCCAGACAGCTTTGTGGAGCCCAGTGTTAATGCACACATCTGGAGCGCCTGTTTCCCTCGTTGCAAATTTTCCATCTCTTTTAGTGCTCGAGGAGCACGCTTCTTGAAGCCCGCTCCGTGGATGTGTTTGTGAATGTTGGTGGTGTATTCCCCGGTAACTACCTCGTTGATGGCAGAATGGCCACTGCACAATATCTTAAAGGCAAGTAACGTGGGGGAAGCAAACACTACTATTTCCTTCCACCCAGAGTGGGAGAGAGAATGCCAGCAAATGTATGACAGCATCAAGGCACAGGCTGAGGAAAGTCAGATCCAGGGGCCTGGGAGTTTTCAGCTTTTGGAGTCCTTGGAGCTGGAGGGAGCTATCCCCAGATTCCAGTTTTCCCCCACAGAGGGCACCACCCCCAAAAGGGGAAGATGCTGAGGACTGGGGAAAGGTAGGAAAAAGGTGGGAGGTGGGCCCTCCATAGCCCTCCCTATTTGGGGGAGGAGAG